TCCCAATGAGACCGGTGTCTGTTGACAACAAGCCAACATCTGGAGCTACGATCGGGTGAATGAACCAGTGGCAGTTCACTTAGACGAGTAGGCTCAAAAGCTTGAATCAAAAACAACCAAGAAGCAGTGTATCAAAGTACGCTCATACCTTCTTGGTTGTGGCCGAGGTGGGCAAGGGTGGTCCATATGATACTCGTGCATTGATATGTCATTTCCCACACGCAAATTGAAAGAAGTGTCAGCGGATGAGTCACAGAACGGGTGTCCCTGACGTCGGTCTTAAGCTGTCTAGTAGTGCCTCAATCCAAAGTTATTCGCCATCTTCGGGTCCTTAACCTAGGAGCTGAAAGCGTCCTACAATTGACAGTTTTAGAAAATGCCTTCATCTCCACAGCCTAAGTCAGATTTTTCACCCTGTTGTCGCTTTAACCTTGAGTGGGTTTGTGTGAACGCAGCATGACAGCAAGCTATTCAAGCCTTCGGAGCGAAATGCTGGCATTAAGAGGTCGTGAACGAACCCTTCACTCGGTAGTGAGACGGTAAGTTGCTTCATTTTCTTAAAGGCCAGTCAGATTGACCTTTAGCACCATATAGTTATAGGGCTTTACATGTCTTTATAAGGGCGCCAGTTGAAGGAACGAAAATTCAACAACCTGGTATTGCTACCAATGTTCATTCGCCACTGCTCGTTTAGTGGTCAGTGAAATGAATCACTGAATAAACACCAACGAAGTATGTTAAAATTTCGCAGTTGAGACCAAATTAACATAACCTAGTGACACCACTTACCTGCAGACTCAAAATAAAGCGAACTACGGCATCACGATCCAATTTATGTACACAATCGAAAAGTGCCAGGATTTGAATTCCACTCAGAGTAGACAGTAAGTGTGAATCATGTCCAGGGGCGGGTGATAAACCTCCGTCGGACTGTTGACAAGATAAGACCAAATCGACTACTCGGTCCTTATCAATCTTATCTAATTCGTTCATCAGATCCAGTGCAGTAATTGTCCAAAATATCCCGGAAAGTTTTAGATAATCCAATGTGCAGTCGTCTTTCTTCTCATAAGCAGCCAGAAATGCAGCATGCTTTCGCATTAGTAATGCTGTGGGCATCGATTCGTCTAACTTGCTATCAATGATAGGATGAGCCATTTTATTGTCCAAAGTTGAGGAAGAACTGTCTTGAGAAAAGGAAGTGACATTGGTAAAAAAGAGCCAAGCGTATGAAAAAACGCCACTGTGGATTAGTTTTAGTTGTATCACAAACAATTTAAAAAAAATTAAACTAACACATTGAATTAAATTTCTAATAGTAACCAGAGTAAACTAGGTGGTCATCATCATCCACATCGTAAAGCGCAATACATTGAAACGAAATTCACTGACCGCTGTAGTCAATCGTGAACAAAAGAGGTATCTGGAACCGAACTTTGTCTGACCTCTGCCCTCTAATCTTCCAGGCGTGATTAGATCTTCTGCTTGACACAAGCCGACCAGAGGGGCTTCCTGTCACTCTTTTCAAGATGGGAGGGGTGATAACCTCGTAAACTCTAATACCAACTTACTGCATATGTGGCCGCAAGAGCGCCTCCCATCATCTTGGGGTGAATCACTGATCGTTCCAATTTTCGAGAAAGGATCTCGCAACTACTGTGAAAACCACGGAAGTATAAGCATAATCCCAATTGTCACCAAAATGTTAGCCTCCATCATACTTTGACATTAGAATCCTCCATGAGTGACTAACATCTGTGAACAGCAAGTCAGATTCCAGTTTCAGTTCAGTTTGTACAACCATTAACCATGGACTTTCGTCTTCCGGTTTTGGTTGCTGTGTTTTAGCTGCCAATTTGGAGATACTAGGACAAAGCCAGGAAAGTTGAAAGTAGAGTTGAATATAAAATGGAGTTTCAGTGGACTAAGGTTGCAAATTAATTGAGATGCACGAACACCACTGCTTACCACACTCAGTCGTATCACTCAGCGTCTCTAACCATCGGTTACTATCATCCTGAGGTCTCCATTCAGGGATTGTAACGGGACCTGTGTAACCGAGTCTCCTAATTGAGGTTTTCATACCCTCGTGCCAGGTCTTCGTTTGAACATATACATATATACATATATATGAGATCAAGCTTGATGCCAACGCCATAATAATATTAACAATAACAATAATAACGAGCGTGTGTGGGGGGGGGGTTGGGGTACAGAGTTTAGGGGGAAAATGTAGCTGTCAGAATCGGAGATTACGAATAAATGGAATAACAATTTTTTGGGCGTTTCACCGTACACTTTTTGAATTTTTTTATTGCTGTTTGTTGTTTTTACGGGG